ACGGTCATTGGTTGATTCCTTTATATGCCTGGACTGGGGATCGGAACCAAAACTTTGGCATATTGCAACGATGCTTTACCCAACAATAACTGAGCTATCCAGCCAGGGCGTGGCGCAAATAATTTGATTTGAGGAAGGAAGGTTTTAGAATTCAGATATTTGTTTTAAATGATATATCAAATCAAATATTACACATTATATAGTAAAATACAATTAAATGTTAATGCAATTAAATCTCATCAAAAGATGTAACTAATAGCAACTAAAACACCCCCCCCAAAGAATTTGTAAATTCAACCTTTAATTCAAAATTAAAGGACAACTGAGTCTATAATGAATTATGACATGCCTGCAGTTTTATTGTAGTAAGTCTTTATCTGAGTCTTAATGTCTAATTTTTTAAAGACTGGAGGTAGAAGAAAGTTCTTATTAATTGCAGAACAATATGGTACATAACATTTCTGACATACAATATTTATTTGAAGGAGAATAGTGAATACACTGATTTTTAATGAATCTGAAATTGAATCTGTATCACCTTTTCTACTTAGCTCATTCTACATTTAAAAGAAGTTATTGTGTCTATCCCTTCTAGGTTCCTTGAGGGTGTTTGCCATTTCAAGCTCGTCTTTATAAATCTCATAAAGTATAGAATGATTCTGTGGTCAGTAGGAATGAGAGAAAGTTCTCAGTTGTGAGTTTAATTATTTGAGATTTATTGTGTTGAAACTGATTGTATATTTTATCTTTGAAAGGTACACCGTTATTTGATGGTTCCTGTCGTTTCATTGATCCACAGACTATACAGTCTATTCAACAATGCCATTTGCTTCTTAGCAATCTTAATACAGTCTTAAGCTGTTTTGCAACAGAGGCGCAAGAGATCACGGAAAGAGGTGTGCTGTTTATCTTATATAAATGAGCGTTTTGTTAAATTTGACTTATTGACGCCTTAAAAGAATAAATTTCCTGTCTTAGATGTGTCATTGTACAAAAAGGCCATTATTTCTCAAATGCTGTTTTGTTGTGTGTGTGTGTGTGTGTGTGTGTGTGTGTGTGTGTGTGTGTGTGTTATGAAAAGCTACATAATGCTATTAGGTGTATCAGGAGCCCAGGCTTAAATAAGTGGCAAATTCTGGATTTAAACCTAATGGCTTTTAAGGTAGTATGTTTATAGTAGAATTTCAAATTTTAAATTACACATAAGTTTTTATTCACAGAGGTCATTGTAATGTTTGCTGCTGTTTTGCCATTTAAACAAAACAGTCAGTTTTATTTAAAGGTCTGATATGAACAACCTATGGTATATTAATGATACTGTATAGTTGTAGCAGTGTATAAACTTGACTTCTGAAATTAGGTAAATGGAAGTGTAGCTGAGATAGAAACACCTAAAACATCTACTTTAGTGAGTTATTTGTTCAACCTAAGTTTTAACTTACTGTTAGAAATTACCAAAGAATTCATTAGTTTTTGAATTAGTGTCTTGATTTTTCATTTGTGGTTGAAGTTTAAACAACTGATGCTTAACTCTTCTTTACAGGCCGTATGAACTTAGCCAATAAATGTGCGGTCTCCCAGCTCATCTGTCAGTATGCACAAATGGTTCTCTGGTTCTCTCACTCTGGGCTTTTACCAGAGGGCTTAGGTAAAATATTTACTTATCTACAAATATTAATTGAAACATTCTTAAATCTTAATAATTTTGTGGTTGTGTTCTAATGTTTTGGGTTTCCTTTCTTCTATCACCTCACTTATGTTTCTTTTATTCTTACTTTTCTTACATTCTTTCTGTTTATCTTCAGTACCTCACCCCATGCCTGATACACAGGTTTCCCATACGTGTTTATTGTGTTAAAGAACATTTTGAAGGAAAAAATATTTGAAAGAATACTATGGCTTCTGAAAGTTGATTCAATATCACCAGCTATAATCTAGGTCCATAGAACTTACACATCTTATTATCTAATTTGTCAATCTTTTTATTTTAAGGGTTCTTTTAATATGGTTATTAACAAGTATTTACCATCATTTAAATATTTCTTTTAATCTCAGGGCTGGGGAACCTTTTTCCTGCGAAGGGCCATGTGGATATTTATAATATTATTCATGGACCATATAAAATTATCAACTTAAAAATTAACCTGCTATATTTGGTCAAACATTTAATTAACTCACCCCTAATACCCTGGCAGGGCCAGACCTAATAATTTTGCAGGTCTTATATAGCCTGCAGGCCGGACATTCCCCGCCCCTGTTTTATCTAATGATTGATGCCAATATTAAGAATTAGAGAATTTGACTTCTGCTGTATTTGTTTAAAATACACTTCCAGCCCTAACCGGTTTGGCTCAGTGGATAATTAGATTTTATTTAAGCTTGCTTCTCTCACTGTCCATAATTGCTGTTGATCTGTTCTTCATAATTCTCTTAGCATCCTTATCGTTACAGGTGTTTATGAGAGACTTGGTTTTCTCATTGTGCATCTGTTAATAAAAGGGTGGGTATATTACTGAAGTTTAGGAAGCCTACAAATTAAACAATAATATAAAAGTATAGTAAAATATCAATGTGAGTAACCTAAGTATTGTCGGGATATTTTGGAAATATTACTAGCTTTTTTTCCAACTCTTAAAAAAACAATCTAGATGATGCTGTGCAGTTGTCAAGGTTATGCTACAACTACCCTGTAATTCAGAGCTACTACACCAGTCGTCGGCAGAAGTGTGAGCTTTTATCAAGGTATAGTACATCCAGAACCTTCCAGCAACATGTTAGACATTTCTCCTGTAGGAAGTCAGAACGCCTTCGGAGGTAGAACAGCATTCATCCTGTTATAAAATGATTAAATGGGTGGAATTCTCAGAATTTGTTACCACCATTACTGTTTTATTTGTAATGTTTGCCTTGGCCTGATGGTCACACCTTTACTTTAGAACTTGAGTATAGCTATTTGTTATTTCCTAAGGAAAGCTATTTACCACCATTCATAATTAGAGGAGATTCTATAATTTTAAACATGCTTTTTTTGAGAATTCTTATTCAGGAAGGAAAAAAAACTGGAAGCTGCTATTTGTCAAAAAAGCTTAACATAGGTCATCAGTTAGTTATTTTACATTCTTTCCATTAACAGCTGCATTTCAGCACTTGGACGACTTTGTTTTTTCCCCTTATTTTTTCTCCCCCCCCTTCCTGCTTCCCAACTCTTCTCCCTTTGATAATTGGGATCATTGCTTTTAAGAATTTAATGCTATTGCCTTGATAATAATAATTACCACTAATGTTAAATAATCTTTATTGTTGCCCTTATTGCAGTGGGAAATGGAACTCTGACTATTTGATGATCGATGGAATGGTTTCTCAGTTAGGAGATCGAGTTGAGAAGTTGTGGAAACGAGATGAAGGAGGCACAGGGAAATATCCTCCTCCTAGTCTGCATGTAGGTTTGCAATAACATGGTATCACTTCAGAGTTCACAAAGTTGTGGGGAGGGAGGTTTGCTTAACTGAGTTGTCACGCCTGACACAGTCTGGGGGGGAAACAAGGAGTGTGAATAAATCCATAATAATAAAAGCATAATATGCTAATTAACCAGACACCTTCCCAGCAAGGGAAGCCCAGGTCTCGGTTCCGGTGCTGGCAGCTGGGGGAAGGAAGGCCTACTGTTGCACGAATTTTGTGCATTGGGCCTCGAGTGGGTATATAAAATGGACTGAATTTTTTATCTCTTTTATAGGCACTACTTGACATATACCTACTAGACAACGTTTCTGAAGCAAGCAAACATTTTATTGTATCCTTTAAAATTTTTATTAAATAATTCATGTATTACCTAAATCACAAAATTTCAGAATAGTAGAACCAATACACAAGCTAATCCAGTCTCAGTTTCACATTTGAATTTTTTTAAAAGGAAGGTTTCTTTCTCTTTTTTTGCCCTGATTCATAATTTAATGGCTGTGCAAGTGCTGGTCCCTTATTTCTGCTGCTCACGGGCCCACTGCTCTGGGGTCAGGGTTTTCTGCTCCAAGGCATGGATATGCGGGAGCTCTTCTGCTAGACACGTGCTCACCAGCCGGTGTCTCTGGAACAGCGGCTTCCCCTCGAACTTGGCCGACACCACCAGGACTCAGAAGCTGGACGTGCAACGGTTGGGAGTCCTGTCCTCCACCCCCACGTGCTCTGCCTGCAGGTCCCGTCGCAGCTTCTCCCGCAGGTGCTCAGCGCTGAGTTCCATGGCCGCCGGCGGGGGCGGCCCGGCACGGGCAGAACCCCAGATCCCACGCGGGTCACGCTGCTGCCACCCTCACTGCTCCACTTCTACGTAGGCCTCTGCTTCCGCCCTTACTGAGGTGTTCCTAAAAGAAAGGTTTCTTAACCCAGCATCTGGGGGTTGGGTTTAGGTGGTCTGTGGTTAACCTGAAATTATGCAAATGTTGATTTTTGTAGGGATAGGGTTCAGTGTTTTTATCAGATTCTCAAATGTGTCTGAGACACTACCCAAGTTAAGAGCAGCAGCTCTAAAACATTACTGGCAAGTAGTCATTTCAAATAGGTTAACTTATATACTGAATATAAATACATTTAAGGTTGTTTAATATTTTCTACCTTAGACATTGTGTTGAGCCCTGTGGTCGTTGCAATAAGGTTTTTGTCCTAATGTCAGTTATTAATCTGAAAACGTGTAGTTCTGTTTATAGTTTATAAGACACTTGATGCATTTGCTTAAGCTGCCAAGTTTTGCTGGCTAACTGGAGTTTGTCTATAGCTTTGTTTCTTAAATTTGCTAAGCTACTGACTTCATGAAGCAAGTACGCGTTAGTTCTTCCCTTTTGTGGTGGCGCTTCCTATGGAGAATGAAGGAAGCTGGTGTGGGATTGCCTATACCCACATCTAATAAAACTACTTCCCCTAGCTGGGCATTCATAATGGTTTTCAAAAACTAAAGTCTTTCAAGAATCATTCATAAAGTCTTTCAAGAATCATTCCAGCTATATTCTGTTGCTACCTATTGTAAATATATAGGTAGAAGTTTTTGTTTATTGTCCTTAACCCACTTTTTAAAAGACCATTTATTTGCTACTTGATATTATGTATTCATTTCCAAACAAAACAGATACTTCAATTGAATCATTTCCAACTGCCTTTGCCATTTCTTGGGACCAGGTTAAACTTATTCAAGGATTTTGGCTGATCGATCATAATGACTATGAGGTGAGTCTGTTAGTTCACTTAGAATTAAAGCTTCTGTAAACTATTAAAATAATGATTAAAATTTATATTAAAGATATGATTGAATCTATTTCTAGAGGTAATGTAAGGAGTCAGTTCAAATAATGCCTTCACTACCTTAGGCAGTAAGAATACAAAGATAAAACTCCAGGTGTCACACTGCTTAAAGAAGGAAACAAATAGGTAACAATTACTAATAGTGCAGATATGGTGATTGTTAGGTTAGAAATCTGTTTAGTGTCTTGGGGGAACCACAGAAGGCAGGATTTAGCATTGATATGTGAAGTTGGTGATGGGAAGATTTTGTATAATTTATAATTGTATAATGAGGTCTCAAAAGCATGAGGTTTCTGATAAGGCTTTTATTGAAAATAAAGTATACCATAGGTTGACATTGACCCTGGTTTTATCTTGATTTTTGTGGCTTTAGTATTGCCTGTCTTTTTAAAGGTGTGCTACTTCGTATGAATGCAAAGCATGTATATGTGTTTACCAGTTTTCATGTCGTTTTTGCAGAATGGTTTGGATCTTCTGTTTCATCCAGCTACTGCAAAACCTTTCTCATGGCAGCATTCAAAGATTATTCAAGCCTTTATGAGTCAGGGCGAGCACAGACAAGCCCTCAGATATATTCAGACAATGAAGCCAACAGTGTCCAGTGATAGTGACATTATCCTTCACATCACTGTTTTGCTTTTTAATAGGTAAGTACATACTTTGAAAGGATAATCAAACTTTTGATCTTAACTGTTAATATAATGGTATTATGTAGTATGTAGTAGCAATGATGAAGTATGTAGTAGCAATATATATTTCGCTTTTATTGTATTACATAGTATTCTTACAGTTCTTCATCTTTCAAGCTTAAGAAAAATGTAAAACATCTTTTATCTAGAATAACATAAATAAGAAGTACCTTGAGTAAAAGAGGAAACCAAACTGAGGTTTAAAATTGTATCTGCTGCTAATTGATAATATTGGTAGTCTCCTGCATGGATAGTTAATGCCTGAGTATACTGAAAAGGAGCCAGAAGTATCGAGGAAGAATAAAATCATCTTGAGGTGGTTATTGTTTGTTTATTTATGCTTTGAGTGAGAGGAAGGGGGAGAGAGAAGCATCGCTTTGTTGTTCCATTTATGAATACATTGTTTGATCCCTGTATGTGCCCTGACAGGGGATGGCACCCACAACCTTGGCGTATGGGGACGTTGCTCTAGTTAACTGAGCTCCCGGCCAGGGTGATAATTCTGTTCTTTGAGGTATACCCCAATGACTTTACGCCAGTATTTCGGTAAAATTGGTTGTTGGGTATTGCAGTGCTTTGCTTTTGATATTTGCCATTGCATTGTTATAGAAAGGAAGTCTTGAAGTATCTGTTTAAATTTAAGAAAGTTTCAGGTTTCACATCTTAATACTTTAACAAGATTTGAGCAGTTAATATCCTTATATTCTTTTTTTCTTCCCTTGGCAGTGTTTTAATGTTCTATCATGTTTAACGTATCAGCATGATAAATTTACTGTATATATTAATGGTGACAAGTTAAATGACATGGTTGAAAATATGATCGTCTGGTTATTGGGTTTTCTTATTAACGAAATTAGTTGGGGAAATTGCTTGGAACTGAAATTTCTTACCAAATTGTAACTTTATTTTATACAACTTGTATTGTGTGTTTGGTTTCTATCTTTTTGGTTGGTCTTTTTTCTTCTTCTTTTTAAAAATTTTTCCCAAGGACATGCTTAGAAAGAGAGAGAGAGAAACTTTGATGTGAGAGAGAAACATCGACTGGTTGCCTTTCATATGTGCCCCTACTGCAGCCCGGGTATGTGCCCTGATGGAATCAAACCATCAACCTTTCAGTGCACAGCACGATGCTCAACCACTGAACCACTCCACTGGGTGTTTGGCCATTTTTATGTTTTTATAAATTGGTCATTTTACTCACCCCCAAGCATCATTTGTGAACCAAACAGCATGTTAGTGTCACCACTCCGAACGTTGTTTTCTTTGTTCCATTTGGTTAAACAGAATGTATTTCTAGGGGTAAAGGCTGAATCCGAAGAAAGCTTGCAGTTTAATAATAGGTTGGCTAGTCATGTAGAAACTTATAGTGTCCTCAAAATAATGAATTAGGAAGTGTTTGTGGAAATAATTTAGGTGAGCAAAAAGTGTTTGACTAGTCCAGTGATGGCGTGTCAGCATTTGAGCTCGGCATGTCAGCATTTTGAAAAACCCTAACTTAATTCTGGGGCCGTGTCACATATAGACATTTTTTGATATTTGCAACCATAGTAAAACAAAGACTTATATTTTTGATATTTATTTTATATATTTAAATGCCATTTAACAAAGAAAAATCAACCGAAAAAATGAGTTTGCGTGTCACCTCTGACATGCGTGTCATAGGTTTGCCATCACTGGACTAGGCCCAGGCAGGTCACTCAGTTGGTGTCGTACCCATATGCCAAGGTTGTGGGTTCAGTCCCCAGTCAGGGCACATACAAGAAATAAACAGTGAGTGCTCGCTTTGGCAGCAAATATACTAAAATTGGGAGGGTACAGAGAAGATTAGTATGGGCCCTGCGCAAGAAAAAAAAGAAACAATGTTTCTCTCTCTCTAAAAATCATTTTTTTTTTAGTTCTTTTGGCTAGCTAAGAAGTTGTCTAGAGCAAATATAAGAAGTTAAAAGTGACAAATACTTAATAATGGGTAGTCTGGCTGGTATTGCTCAGTCATTCAGCCTCCACCATGAACCAAGAGGTCACTGGTTTGATTCCTGGTCAGAGCACGTACCAGGGCTGTAGGCTTGATTCCCCAGCAGGGGACGTGCAGGAGGCAGTCGATAGATGATGTTTCTCATCGATGTTCTATCTCTCCTTTTCCCTCTCTCTAAAAATCAATAATATATATATGTATTTAAAAATAAATGGGTAAAGGTTTCTAACTGGGTTGGCAAGCAGCATGTAAATTTTTCTCAGTTGCATGTAAGCTTCTCATTAATTTAAGTGACTTTAAAGAGGTGGTAATTGATCACTAATGCTTACATCAAAGTGCAGCCGTTGGGACGTTAGAAAACACCTTTGAAAGGCTGCTGGATTTTTTTTATTCCATTGTCCTTTGAATTCAGTCATAGCATGTTTCTCTGAGTTGCTAAGATCCTCATTTTCTCTTCTTTAGCCATAGCAAACATTATGTAATTTTAAAACTTATTTCTCTTAAGTATAATAAAGCTTCCAGTATCCAGTATCCAAAAAATCTAGCAACATTGTGTCCTATACAATAAAGTTCAGAAATAAAAACAAAGATGGACTCAAAATTTCCTCAGATTTATTTCATTATGAACATTAATTGCTTTAACTTAGCTCACATACTCTATATTTCTTATATATATCATTTATTTACTAGTCTTTATTTCAATATTTATTATTTCAATAAAAACTATATAGCCGAAACCGGTTTGGCTCAGTGGATGGAGCGTCGGTCTGCGGACTGGGGGGTCCCGGGTTCAATTCCGGTCAAGGGCATGTGCCTGGGTTGCGGGCACATCCCCAGTGGGAGATGTGCAGGAGGCGGCTGATCGATGTTTCTCTCCCATCGATGTTTCTAGCTCTCTATCTCTCTCCCTTCCTCTCTGTAAAAAAATCAATAAAATATATTAAAAAAAACTATAGCTAAATCTTTTTTATTAACCCACTATAGTAAAAATTACCTATTGACTTAGAATTCGAAATGGGTTTTTAAGATAATCATTTCCTTGATGTTCCTGTCTATTTGCCATTTTTTATTCTATCCCTCTTTAGCCTTGAAAGTTATTAGGCCCTCAAAAATTCTACATGCCAGATTAATCATTCTCAGTTTTGGTGTATATCTTTCAAGACATGTTATTATTTAATAAATATATAAACATTTACTGGCTTTATTTATTGGTTAATTTAACATTGTAATCACTACACTGTGTTAAGCTTTTTTTTTTCTTTTCTTCACAGTGTATAATGAGAAACTGCTTCATTTAATGACCTATTGCCCACAGCTCATTGTCCCTCAGGCTGTCTAAAATGTCTGATTTGGTCCAAGTCCTCTAGTCAGATCTTGCTGCAGATCAGCCCAAATCTTCTGTTACTATGCTAAACCCTTCAGCTCCCCATAAACCCCATCTTCTTGTTTCCATCTTTGCCTGTTTTCTTTTCTACTCTTCTTTCTCATGCAAGCACTCAGTTCCTTAAGAGCCTGGCTTTTCTGTCACATCATGCTAATTTTCAGTTCTGTTTAGGTCACATTAGTTTTTTATCCTCTTGACCTTCTGTGTACTTACTTTGCTTTCCTATTATTTTACACTTATATAATGATACAGAACAGCATAAAATTGAGTCTTTAAAAATGCCTGTTGATATTACCCAACTTTTTTTTAAATAAGTAAAAGTAGTATTTTATTGCAATATGTTTATCTCAGAAATCCACATTTTATAAAACTTCAGTGAATTGAAAAGGCAACAATAAGAAAAGTGAGGTTACTTTCATTTAAATTTGGGTATTATGGACGCCTGTAGTTTTGACCACAATCCGTTTCTAATTTATTTCGCAAATATGTACTGGCAGCATGGTAATGAGATAATTAAGTAGTTACAAATGTTATCAATTTTTGTTGTAATGACACATTAATAATCTCACTTAAGCTGATACGGGAGCTTTAAAAAATGTAGATTGGGGAATGTCTAACAGTGGCTTGTGTTTCTCATCCTGAGTACAAAAGTCAAAGGCAAACAAAGCCCAGCATACCTTCCACCGTGTCACATAGTGCCCCTCCACCTCTTCTGGCCTTGTTTTGAATTGAGCTCAGGGAAGATGCCTGAATCGTTTTACACAAACAGGCACAGGCTTGAAGTCAAGAAGAAACCAGCGCAGGGCCGCCACGCTGCAAATCACCTGAAGTTGAAATGTGGGCGCCGAGGTGCTGGGGTCCAACCCCAGCAGGTCCAGGGATCCCCAAAGGTGTGGACGGAGTTGGCGAAGAAGGAATGACACAGAGACAGCGTTCAGTTGATCAGCAGCCTAGCCAGGATCTCTAGCCAAGTTCTGGTCAGGATCTCCAGCGAAGTTCTGTGTCCATGTTCTCATGCTTGGTTCTCCAGTCAGGTTCTCCAGCCAGGTTCTGTAGCCATGTTCCCTCGCTAGGTTCTCCAGCCAGGTTCAGTCACCAGGTTCTAGTCAGGTTCTCTTGCCATGTTCTATCCAGGTTCTTCAGCCAGGTTCTGTCTAGTTTCTCCAGCCAAGTTCTGTAGCCAGGTTCTGTCCAGGATCTTTTGCCATGTTCTCTCGCTAGGTTCTGTCTCTAGGTTCTGTGTCTCTAGGTTCTTCAGCCAGGTTCTCTCACTAGGTTCTGTTGCCAGTTTCTGTCCAGGATCTTTTGCCATGTTCTGTCTCTAGGTTCTGTGTAGGTTCTGTGTCTAGGTTCTGTCCAGGATCTTTTGCCATGTTCTCTCTCTAGGTTCTGTGTCTACCCAACTTTTTAATGCAGTGATTAGTATTCAGTAAAATTAAGTTCTCTTCGATTACATGTATGGAGTATCTTTGAGAATCTTTAGGTGAATTACTTGTTTTGAACACTTTAAATAGCTTTTCTAAAACGAAACTTTGATAAATACTGATTGCAGGTGCATGATTGAGGCCTGGAGTTTACTGCGATACCATTCTAGTAGATCGAATATAGAGGAGTTACTAGAGCACACATATAAAGGCTGTCAGGAAATGGGCTTAATGGAGGACTTACTGAAGCTACCATTTACAGACACTGAGCAGGTAATGACTTACCAATACAAACGCGTCAGAAATTCAGGATGTGTTAGTAGCTTACAAATGTGTTCTCTTCTTCCTAGGAGTGTTTGGTGAGGTTTTTGCAGTCCAGCACCAGTGTTCAGAATCATGAGTTACTTTTAGTTCACCATTTACAGCGTGCCAATTACATCCCTGCCTTGAAGCTGAACCAAAATCTGAAGATCAATCTTACGGTATAGTTAAACTTGTTATGGGGGTAAGGAAAGAAGAAAAATTAGTGACTTTGTTATCTAAGAGTTTGTAGTTTGGAAACCAACCACTGAGCTTTATATGTATTTGAGTTTGGAGAATCCTCTTACTTTCTGTAGCAGATTAGGAATAGGGTATTATGATTTACCTAGTTCTCTTTTATACTCCATTTCTGTTTAAATATCTGTCTGTGATCTTGCCAGACTAATCATTTCTCTTAGGGAAAAGGAGAGGATGAGGTAGAGGTCGGTAACAGAAATTATATAGTGCACAGAGCCCGGACTTCAGGAGTCAGACCAATTCTAATTTGCTCTGTGCCTGGAACACCCTCTCTGTGCCTTGGGTTCCTCGCGTGTAAAACGATAATGCCTCTTTGCGAGGATGAACAAGGGTGTGTGTGGAGTAACAAGACATGTTACCGATACAGGGAGAAACTTAGTAAATGACAGCTGGTGTTCTTTCGGTGTGAAGAAATCAAGACTGGACAGGAGAGACTTTTGATGGGTGAGGTCTGATAAAGTAATTAGGTGTGTATGTGAGGTCCCTTGGTTTGGAAGAAGGCAGGAGGAAGATATTCTTGGATGTTCATTGTTATATTTTAAAAGGTAAATATATAAACATAGCACCTAACATGTTTGAAGATTAATTTTTACTAGTTATGATATGTTCAATAGAATGATCGTGATCCTCACTTGCGGGAGAGATCTGTGGCACGAAATTCTATATTAGATCAGTATGGAAAAGTTCTTCCGAGAGTCCATCGAAAATTAGCCATGGAACGAGCTAAGCCTTACCGTGTGCCAACATTATCAGTTATTCGAAAAGGTAAGATTTCATTGAAAAATGTCATAAAGTGCCGAATCCGGTTTGGCTCAGTGGATAGAGCGTTGGCCTGTCGACTGAAGGGTCCCAGGTTCGATTCCGGTCAAGGGCATGTGCCTTGGTTGCAGGCACATCCCCGGTGGGAGGTGTTGCAGGAGGCAGCTGATCGATGTTTCTCTCTCATCCATGTTTCTAGCTCTCTATCTCTCTCCCTTCCTCTCTGTAAAAAATCAATAAAATAAATTTTTAAAAAAAGAAAAATGTCATAAAGCATTGAGTTAGAGAAGAAATTGAGTGATTGCTTTCTGCAACCATCCCTATCTTATATTTTAGCTTGCTTTTGCTTTCAATCATCACAGTGGTAACTTTTTTTTTTTTAATTGGCCATTCTACCCCAAGAAGTTTAAAGCTCGCCCTAGCTGGTTTGGCTCAGTGGATAGAGCAATTGGCCTGCGGGCGGAAGGGTCCTGGATTCGATTCCAGTCAAGGGCACATGCCTGGGTTGCGAGCTCAATCCCCAGTAGGGGGCAAACAAGAGGCAACCGATCAATGATTCTCATCATTGATGTTTCTATCTCTCTCTCCCTCTCCCTTCCTCTCTGAAATCAATAAAAATATGTTTTAAAAAAAGTTTACATTTTTCTTGGACATTTTTATAATTTACTTAGTAATGTACCAAAGAATGAAAGAACTTTTTTATTTCATTTGAAGGCTCTTGTCCAACTTTTAGAAAACATGTAACTTTCACCATCTTCTAAAAGCCCAAATAAATAAATTTCTACATAGATGTTATTAAAACAAATGCAATTTTAACCAAACTCTTGTGAGCTGTTTCCCAGTTGCTCTTTTATATTAGTCTTCTATTAAAGTCCTGGTGTTAGAGATTAAATTGAATTCTAAATTTTTCATTTTACAGTTTCTCGGCCCAAACCATTATCAGCAGTTCCAAAACGAGCTGTAATAGGGACGGTGTTAACAAGGTCTGCTTTCATCCATAACGTGTTATCTAAAGTTGGAGAGGTTTGGAAAAGTGATGAACCTAAAAATAGCACCGTAGCCTACAGCAGGTATGCTTTACTTTCTGTAGTCATGTTACTTGTTAACCTTTCCTGGATATCAGCAGCATTCATAAGCAGCCTTGGAGCTTATTATTGTAGGTAAAAAGGAAAAACTCTTGCTATTGGCTACTTCGTTGTAAGAAAAATGTATGTTCATTGGTGTGTATATACTTATTTGTCTATATATAAAAGCCTAAGTGTCTGTCCAACCAGTAGCTATGATGATGCACACCGACCAACAGGGGCAGACGCTCAATGCAGGAGCTGCCATAGCACTCACTGGCCATTTAAAAATAAACAGCACTGCAGACATGGTGCCAAAAAAGAACACTCAGCTTCCCCCAGTGGGACACAAGCCCCATCACCATCCTGGAGCCACAGCCCACCAAATCGCAGCCGACGCTGCCAAGACTGCATGACGCAAAATGCTGCCTACAGCCTGGTCCGGAAATGGTCGCTGTGTGCGCTGGGTAATGACATCACATAGCAACACCTGGTTTCCTATCCCTAGTGACTCCTTGGAGCAGCGGTTCTCAACCTATGGGTCGCAACCCCTTTGTGGGTCGAACGACCCTTTCACAGGGGTCGCCTAAGATCATTGGAAAACACATATATAATTACATATTTTTGTGATTAATCACTATGCTTTAATTATGTTCAATTTGTAACAATGAAAATACATCCTGCATATCAGATATTTACATGACAATTCATAACAGTAGCAAAATTACAGTTATGAAGTAGCAACGAAAATAATTTTATGGTTGGGGGTCACCACAACATGAGGAACTGTATGAAAGGGTCACGGCATTAGGAAGGTTGAGAACCACTGCCTTGTAGTTTCTTCAGGCCAAGAACACAACTTGCTTTATAGCCAGGTGCAAACATTTTATACTTTACGGCTGCAGTTAAATATTTTACCCTTTGTTCTCCCTGTGTGATCTACAATAATAATATGCTTCGTGTTGATGTTACTGCTGTGTTGCTGACAATTATCTGAAAGAGAAGTTGGGGTGCCTCACTGGGCTGGAAAAGGTTTAGCTAAATCAGAAAGCAGGTCTAATTAAGCAAGTTTATTCTTTATCTATAAAAGGCTAAGGTGACTCATGCTGATACATATAAAGCTCTCGCTGGCGCCAATTGCATGCATGTGTTTCAATCTGTCATTGTTGATCATGAATTTGGTTGACAGTTCTATTATAGAGAAAGGGCAAATAGCGACATTAAAATATTTCTTCTAATTAATTTCCTTTCAATGTGCACAAATCCATGCACCAGGACACTAGTTTGTAAATAAACAGAAATGTACAGAGTAAAAAACAAAAGCCGTCCTCTCCCATCTAATCCTACCTTTTTACAGCATTTTTAATTTAATGTTCCTTGTAATACATAATCAAAAGCTACATTTTTATTTTCTTTGTAGTCCTAAAATAGAAGGACCATCTCCTGTAGTGTGTTCTCTCCCAGATTCAGAGCTGCCTGGGGCATTTGTTGGAACACCAATTTTAAAAGCATCACAAAAAGTTTCTAGGTAAGAATTTATTAAATCTTTTCTTTTTTTGTTAATCCTCATCCAAAGATACTTTTCCATTAATTTTTAGAAAGAGTTAAAGGAGGGAGGGCGAGAGACAGAGAGAAACATTGATGTGAGAGATTGGTTGCTAAGTGTTATTTTATGTAATTTATATTTTGTGTATGACCTAAAATGCATTACTTATTTGGATCATGGTCAAAAAGTTGAGGAAATCCTAAGACTTAATGCAATAATAGACATTTTCTTTAGAAAACTTAATTGAAAAATAGTTTTTTTTTTATAGTGTTATAGAATAACTGGAGCATGTTTTTTAGTATAACTCTTGGTAGTATATGAATTTGGCTTTTACTTAGGCAGGCGCTGGTGCCATTTGTCGCATAAGCCCTGCTTTTGAAAAGCAATCGTTCCTAAAACGTAAGTGTTAGCACAGTGCAAAGCATTTTACAAAATATCTGTTTGGGCCCTGTCCAGTGTGCCAATGGTCAAGGGCACATAACTTCATTGCAGGTTCTTCACCCTGGTTGGGGGGGTGTGGGATACAACCAGTTGCTGTTTCTCCCTCTCCCTCCATCCCTCCCTCCCACTCTCCAAAAAACAATGGAAAAAATATCCTCGGGTGAGGATTAACAAAAAATTTATTTGGGGGTAGCTCAATGTAAAAGTAAGTAAATAGTTTACAGATACAGAATTTGAATACAAATGAAGTAAGAAAAAAAATGTCAAGCAACCTGATTTACATATTGTTGTTTAATGGAAATCTCCAAGCTGTGTTAGTATAAATAACAAGTAGAGAGACCATGTATTAAGAAAAATGCTTCTTGCCCTGGCCGGTTTGGCTCACTGGATAGAGCATCAGCCTGCAGACCAAAGGGTCCCAGGTTTGATTCTGGTCAGGGCACATGCCCGGGTGTGGGCTCGATCCCCGGTAGGGGCCATGCGGGAGGCAGCCAATCAATGATTCTCTCTCATCATGGATGTCTGTCTCTCTCCCCCAACCCCCCTTCCTCTCTGAATGCAATAAACATATTTTAAAAAAAAACAGAACAGAAAAAAAATAGAGCCATGCCTCTTGTAAGTACGCCCGCAGCGGGTGGTAGGTCCCGAGCACGGGCTGCCTCTGTTGGTCTGCCCTCCATAGTGAAGAGCACGTGTGAGATGAGACGGGAAGGCGGAGCAGCCGGTCCTGTTCATTTCTGGCACCAAAACGTGCTGCCCTTCCCAGTGGTTCTCTGGAGCAACAGGCACTGGGAGAGGAAAAACTCTTTTTTGTTGGTCAGTCTAGTCTTTATTGTGATGAGAACCGTAAAGGTAGAATAAGCCAGTATTCATTATGTACATTATAAGTCGGTGAAATGAATTGTAGCAAAGAGGTTGCTGGTTAGTGTTGCCCTATTTTTTTATATATATTTTAATATTTTAAATCATTAGTAGTTTGTCTTCATTTGAAAAAATAAATACCTGGCAGATAGTGGAGGCTTGGTAAACACTGGTAAACAAGGGAGGGAGGAGGCCTAGAACTCCCTGTTTTTAGATCAATTATCTGGAATTCTTAATTCTCTATTTTGCTTCTGAATCAATACTCTTGACATTTTAAGCATGCATCGTTAATGTACTGGACTGAATTTATGTTTAATGCAGTTTATCATATTTACCAGTGAATGTAAAAGCCTGAGTAATTAAATGGGCTACTAAATTCTGTCGTTTCCTTAGTATAACTCAATAAACAAGTTACAGGGTTTTCTACTCATGCATGTCCTCTGATTACAGACTGCTGGATTTGGTTGTGCATCCTGTTCCGCAGCTTTCTCAGTGTTTGGGGTTCGTCCAGCAAACCCCCACCAGATATCCTTTGTACCTAACACCTAGCTCACCGTCAGTAAGCTCACCGATAAAGGGATCACGTCAGAATACCTCCAGGGCTTCAGAGTTACATTTACTTGAAACTCCTGTTGTCGTGAAGGTGAGTATTCCATACCTGGCATTCCTAGTGAAGCTAGAAAGTCGTTATTTTTAGGTAGCAGGGAGAAGTAGCTATTTATAACTGATATTTCTGAATGATTGATGATTTAAGCCTTTATTTCCCTCTTTTTCTTTTTGTGGATATCTTTCCAAAATGCTTTCTTTACTTTTACATCTTCTTAATAGAATTTGCTGAATTTACCCTTTGTGCTTAAAAGGCTCTGTACTCAAGGGTTACAGTTATTATATTGTTGTCCTGAAAGGCTCTTTGTGATCCCTATAAATTGGCCTGTATTCTTTGAAAAATGCCTTCACATTCTTGGGTTTACTTTCTTAGTTTTTAAATTCTATTTCTTATTCCCTTTTGCTATTATTCCATCAAATGCTTTTTAGTTCTTAGATTTATTAATTTTAATTCTCTAGCTCCTTCAATGCAACTATAAACGTTACTTTTTTCTGCTAATAGATATCTGTCTTTAAATTGCCTCCACCCTCTCTGACAAATTACTAGCTGAGAAACCACAAAACTAAGCGTATGATGACTGGTAACAGTGATCTTTTACCTTCATCTTGTCAAAGTGTGTTTACATATGTTACCCCCTAGCTCCTTGTCCAGTGTTCTAGATCTAATCCTAGGATCTTTTCTTTTTTTTTTCTTTTTTATTGTTCCTTGATATCTAGCATTGTAATGAACCAGGGAATTGCTTTATTTTTCAAATTGAGTAAAAGATACTTTGGTAAATGCTTATCCTAAACTAAGTTGAAAAGGATCACTAAGACTATTAAATTCCTGATATTTAATATCCAGTACAGTATTTCTAACATTTTTTCTTCAAAAAAACAATCAAATTTTATACTGTCTGCTTAAATGAAATAAAATCAAGATAATTTTGTCCCTGCTGCCAAAAAACAGTCTAGGGGGGAAAAAATCAATATAATTTTGTAACAGATTTAATTGGGGATAATTTGTTCACTAGTTCTTTAGAGAAGTTAAGTGAAGGGATTATTTCTAGTAAATATTTTCTATGCTAATTATTTTTATTCATTATAGTTTTTATAAATAATTTAGGAACTGTGGGATTCTTAATGTCAGTCTCATTAATTTAGATTAGATTGCTATAATTAAGCTAGGTTCTGTTCATCGATACTATCTCTTTTATCTAAAGCATTAGCTCTCAACCTTCTGCCCCTTTAAATACGGTTCCTCATGCTTTGACCCAACCATAAAATTATTTTCATTGCTACTTCATAACTGTAATGTTGCTACTGTTATGAATTATAATGGAAATATCTAATATGCAGGATGATCTTAGGCAACCCCTGTGAAAGTGTCGTTCAACCGTCAAAGGGGTCTTGACTCACAGGTTGAGAATCGGTGATCTAAAGTTTTCTAAACAGTCCTAACCGGTTTGGCACAGTGGATAAAGCATCAGCCTGCAGACTAAAGGGTCCCGGGTTTGATTCTGGTAAAGGGCACCTGCCCGAGTAGGGGGCGTGCAGGAGGCAGCCAATCAATGATTAGCTCTCATCATTGATGTTTCTATCTCTCTCTTCCTCTCCATTTCTGAAATAAAACTATATTTTAAAGTATAAAGTTTTCTAAACAATAGTAAAATAATTTCTCGTATCTATGCACTTTATTTTTAAGGTGACTTTATACTTGGAACAACCAAGGCCTTTAGAATGATTATGGATGCACTTTTATGTTTTGTAGTCTTACATATAGAATGCTCTGAATAGAATTTTACATTTTCTTTCCAGTAATCTATAATAAAACTTATGTGTTTATTTGAGATGAGAATTTGGACACCATTGTGATTCAGTTGACCCTACCTATCCTTATGTGTCTGTCTGTTATAGACACTAATGGTGGATCTCCATTTACTCTTTGTCATAGAAAGCTAAAACTTTGGCCATGTCAATTACTTCCTCTGGATTTGCCGAGTTCACTCCTCAATCCATCCTAAGGTCTGGTCTTCGATCAACACCTTTAGGGTCTCCCTCTCAGTCACCTGGAAGATCTCTTACTCCTCCATTACGACTTAAAGAAACTAGAATTTCATTCATGGAAGATGGCATGACCACAAAATGGACTTCTGGAGTAAGTTTGATAATATTTGAAACAAAAAGTTCCCACAAGTAAATAGTTAGATATATCATTTTAATAATACCACTATAGATTTTTGTGTACAATCTTGCAGATAGTCATGAAATCAGAAAATACTAGTTCAGAAAGAAACTAGGATATTGCCGAAGCCAAACCCATCATTTACAGGCGGAAATGTAGGGCTTACGAAGCACCAAATAAATTGTTGACAAATAGCTATTTGGTGTCAGAAATGGGACTAGAGCCAAGACCTAATTTTTAGCCCATGTTCGTTTGTTCTTTAACCTGTATTGTTTTGCTTCTCTTATTAAGTTCCTAATCGATTGTCTATTTGGGAGGATATATCTTCAGAATTCCACTGTGGGTTGTTAATAGGAACCCAATTGATGATTATTGTCATCTTGCCTGTTAAAGTCTTGGAAATACTGATTTTTAATTAGAGAAATATTAACAGTCATTAAACTTCCATCATGTATCTGAAGAGAATGGATTTAGAATACATGAGTTTTGATTAAGGTGGAATGGGTGGGTAATGATTGGCATTAATAGCTTTGAATTGACTGATTTTTACTAGTAAAATTATGTTTCAAAACCTTTTACTTAACAGGCTGCAGATGATAGCAAAACAAAAGCATTTGTGACCAGACCTTTCTACAAATGTGGAATTCCAGGAGACACGGAGTGGCTGACGAACAAAAATAAGACCTCTTTTTCCCTGAATGGCCCTGAAATGGGCCATCAAGAAATGGACGTGAGGTCAGAAAACACACCTTCACAGAGTTTGGAGAAACTGGATGTGAGCAAAGAAAACAGCAATGTTTCCACCGAGTCACTGGAGTACCAAGACGCCCCGTCGCCAGGAGAGTTTGAACATGTCATGGCTGCGAAGCCAGCCAGTGCTTCCACTGGACTAATGACTAATCCAGCTGAAACGACTGAGAAGGACAATGATAACGATGTGTGTGAATCAGTAATCCCTCTAGACCTGGAGAAACCAACAGGTAGGAACTCATTTCCAAGTATTCAAAATGGCTATTGATGTCCCTCATTTGTAATAGAATTTTCTTCACAATAAAAAAAGCATCGGGGTTAGGTAATGACATGACACAATAAACACATCGTATTCTTTCCACTTACAATAGGTATGAGATGTGAGGGGAGAAGTACTTGTGTTCCTTTTTGGGGGGAAGGGGAGAAGAACAGTAATGTTTAAGGAAGAAATGTTAACTCTCAGTCTGACTTAAGGCCTTATAGCTATGAGAAATAACACTAACTTTAGATGAAATCGCTATTAACAATTTTTAACTTATCCAGCAAATCTGAAAAGCTGCTCTAGAACCAGGAAGCTCTTTCTACTCTTTCTCCATCCCTACCTCCAAAATAATCACTGGATGATCAAAATAAATGTACAGCGGCCCATGAGTTTATTGTCTTTACTAGAAGCCCCATGCACAAAATTCGTGCAAGAGTAGGCCTTTCTTCCGCCGGCTGCCAGCATCGGCTTCCCTCTGGCACCCGGAACCGTGCTTCCCTCATAGCCCTGGCTTCGTCCGGAAGGTTGTCTGGAAGGACATCGGTCTAATTAGTATATTATGCTTTTATTATTATAGTCATCTATCAAAAAAATTGTAAGCCCCTAATGTAAGTGCAACAAGTGTGTGTGTGCTGGGTGTTGTTGAGGTGAGGAAAGTGGACATGGGCATCTGCTCCCATGTCATTTAGAGCCTAGGGGGCTGTGGAAACAAACAAGCACTTGTGGTTTGATAGTGATATGCTAGGGGACCACCAGCAAGGGGAAGGGTAGACTTGGTGGACCAGAAAACTTGTTTTCTTTTTATTTATGAACCCTGCAGTTTTATCAAGCTTCTATAAAGGTAACTCCTACTTTTAAATCTGTAAAACCAGGTACTTTTATGAAAATCTGGGTCATAGTGATTTCTTTTGGGAAATATTTCCTGCCTAAGCTGAACTAAGGTTTCTGAGTCCAGTGAAGTTTGGGCTATGATGTCATTTTTTTCCAGTATGTGTTTATTGATTTCAGAGAGGAAGGGAGAGAGAGATAGAAACATCAGTGATGAGAGGGAATCATCGATTGACTGCCTCCTGCATGCCTCCTATTGAAGATTGAGCCCACAACCCTGGCATGTGCCCTGACTGGGAATTAAACCGTTCGTGGGTTGATGCTCAACCACTGAGCCACACTGGCCAGGCTGTGATGTCTTTAATAAACAAGCCTTTATTAGTTGCTCTCAGGATTTAGTATTGTTTTTTCATAAACAGCATATGTCTGGAAGTTTACATTACTGTTTTCATATAATGTATTCCACTAAAATAATTTGAAAGGTAAGTATTAGGCTCTTAGCTCAGTTACTTAACTAGGTTTGTGATCTGGGATAAGCAGTATAACTATATGCTTGTTTTTTCATCTTTAAAATGGGGATAATAGTACTGCCACTTTAAATATTGAGGATTAAGTGAATTGCATCTAAAACACTTGTAGCAGTAGCTGTTAAGACAAAAGTGAGAAATGGTAGATTAAAGGGGGTGAGGAAGCTCTTGGGCTGGACGCAGGATTAGAAGGAACTGTTGTTGGTAGCCTGACGTCAAAGGAGCGAGCTGCACATACAGAGAGCAGACCTGACAGCTTGTGGAAAAGTAGAGTCCCAGACCATGAGTAATTGCAAAACATCAACACGGATAATTGTAAATATTCTTAACTGTGTGGTTTACAGGCCCTTTAGAAGATGGAGAAACAAAGGCTGTCTTAGTTGCAGAAGAAGCACTTTCAGTATTAAATCACTCAAGCCCTATTCAAGGGGTTGACGCTTCTCTTTGTGTGCCATTAACCCATGAAAGGTAAGTGTGCAGGGGAAAATTTCACATGTTAATGTTAAATGAAACTGAACCAGTAAAACAGTCTCTGCATAGGTCAACTCTTACATTTTTGACATTTCTTTACTTGGTAATGTTTTCTGTTATGAAAGAAGTTCATTTGTATGAAAACTGAGAACAATACTCAACATTTCCTGAGTATATAGAGACATACTTGATGGGTTGAGGTAGAACTCATCGTCTTTGGTGGTCCTATTTTTGTGGAAGACCAAGTTTCATTCCCAGTCCCTTCCGTTTTCCGTGGTTTCCCGATGGTCAGGGGTGAGGTTCCCATAGCACCAAGGTGAGCATCGGGAGATGGCGCAGAAACAGTTTTGTTCCCTACCATTGGATGGATACAAAACTCGAGCCAAGTTTTGTTTTTTAATGACATGAAGTGTTATGCTCCCACTTAGTTTCGTTTAGCACTTGCACATTCAGGAGATGTGCTAGATGATGTAGGGCAGTGCTATTCAAGTGTGGTCTGATTGATGCCAATTTCCAAACAGTTTATGGCCCACAACAAGATAAGCAATCAGTACAGCCTTCACCAGGCAGGTTAGTTGGTTGGAGCATCGTCCCATGCACCAAAGGTTGCAGGTTCGATACCCCGTTGGGGCATGTATGGGAGGCAACCGATATATGTTTCTCTCTCTCTCTCTCTAAAATCAATAAACATACCATTTAGGTGAGGATTAATATATACAGATATATAAATATATATATATATGTATATATGTATATATATACACACACACACACACACACACATATATATACATATATATACATGTGTACACCACTTTCTTTGTTGAAAGTTAGCTAAACTAATCAGTGAATTGATTCAGCTTATGACACAGCTCCTTATTTCATTGCAAGCCTGGACACATTGCACATCGGCACTAATAACAACAGTGACACCATTGTACAGGATTCCAAAAACGTTGCAGTTTCAATTACTAAGAAGTAGTATGAAGCTCTGGTCTAATAGCTCAGTTGGTAAGAGCCTCATACTGATACGCAAAGTTGCAGGTTCGAGCCCGGTCAGGGCATATACAAGAATCAACCAATGAGTGCATAAATAAGTAGAGTAACAAATAAATGTTTTCTCTCTCAAAATCAATTTTTTTAAGAAAATGGGGTGGAAAAGGTAGTAACATTTACTAAGCTTAACCACATAAAACATAACTTACAACATTATAAATGGCTTTGTAAGTCCTAAGAGTGACTTCAGAAAGCACTCACCGAGATCAGCCTCATAACAGTGGCCTCTCACACATTCAGCTCGGTCATGTGCTTCTTTTCTGAAACAAGAAACCCTCATCAGCTGGGATCTCTGCCAAGCATTCGGGCAAAAAGTGGGAGAAAACATATGAAAGGATTATCCAGATTGTTTTATTAATTCAAATATTTTTTTAATTTAATGAAAACTAATATTTCTTGCAAATGAGTTTGATAGATAACAATCACAAAACAAAGAGCATTCACATGATAAAAAACTTTAGTCTTACCAGGGGGGTGAGGGCATGAGTGGGTGGGGTGGGGAGGGGCACTGGGGGGAGAAGGACACATATGTAATACCTTCATAAAGAAAAAAAACGTTTAAAAAAAAGAAACTTTAGTCTTGAGTGAGCTAGGTGAATATTCTCATTCTTGGCAAGCTAGTTCCTTTTTAAACAAACAAATTTAGTTGTTGGTTCTTACTCTTACTATAAACATTGTGATTGAGGTAAGTATACAAATGTAACTATAAATAAATGCGTAATTTATTTTAATAATTATGTCTTTCCTGCCAGAAGCCGGTCCATCCTTGCTGCTTGACACAGTCGCTGCAGGGAAGAAACATCTGCACAGCATATGTTTCAAGGGACCTGGCGTATATGACATACTTACTGTTCTTAATATGTTTGCTCCCCTTCTTGGCGCTGTTTTAACCAAGGTCACCTTCCCAGAAAGGTTGTTTCTCCGGGTAGGGATTTTTCCCTGAATTTAGGGAGGGAATAAAACCCCTTAACTAAGTGCCAGGCTGGTAGTTAATCACGGGTAGTTAATCACTTTAACTATGAACAATCATGTTTAAGCTACATAATCTTTATTCCCTGGAATGGAGATAAGAAACGCCCTAACCTTTGGAATTGAAATTGATAGGATTAAAATCAACTGGTATAAATACAGATGTAACAAGACAATAAAAAAACAACCTGGCTACACAGAACTTGGCTGGAGATCCTGGTTAGAGATCCTGGGTAGGCTGCTGATCAACTGAACGCTGTCTCCGTGTCATTCCTTCTTCGCCGACTCGTCCACACCTTCGGGAACCCCTGGACCTGCTGGGGTTGGACCCCAGCACTTTCCCGTTTTTAAAAATCAGCATGCTTTAGTTGGGTTTGGCAGGGGAGGCCAGCTCGGAATAGGAAGGATCACTGTCAGCATATTTCCAAAACTTAATTTTATGAAGTGGATTAAATAATGCAGATCCCATTAGTTTTCCATTCTGAGTTATTCCTTAATCTTAGCATTAAAATACTGAACCTCCTCCTCCTGAGTGTAGAAGAAATGTCCCATAATATTTGACAGATTTATTTGGAAAACATGGCCACCAGTAATTAAAAATTGGTATAAGTGCAATTTGTTCCGAGCAACATTTTAAAATCATTTTGCTTATAATTTAAGGCCATGTCATTATTGCCAATAAAGTGAAATATTGGAAAGTGGGAGAAACAAATAATAGCATAAATCACATAAATTTTATAGAAGTTCAGAGTGAACTTACTAATTTCTCTGAACCTTGGTTTTTATCAGCAATATGACAAATAGGAAAGGGAGTAGGATTTAAAGCATATTAGAGAAAATGGGATCTTCTCACAGTCAAATATATATTTCTTTTTCTAAAGGAAAACCCTCACCCCGAAGTCCAAGGTACCAATTTCAGACGAAGTATCACTTGAAACCTGCACCTCTACAATTAGAGCAGGTAAGGATAAATGTTTGTATTATTTTGACTTAGAATTATTTCATTTTGGTGTTTTGATAAAGGGATCTATTCTTAGAACCAATGAATCTGTTATCCAGATTTGTTTATCTCAATTTTTAATCTCTGGTGTGTATGGTGTCTGAAGGTGTATCAGCTGATTCTAACAGTGGAAATCTTAGAATGCTTTTTGTGGACTGTTTTCCTTCAAAACATCAAAGAAGAGCAATCTAAGTTACCAATCCACACCCAGCCAGACTGCATGCCTGCTTCTTAATCTTCTGGGACTCATGTCTGCATAGGGCAGCTTCCTTTTTCCTGAAATTTTTTTCCATATGCATATTTCCCCCCACATGTTGAAAGAGGAAGGGGAGATAAAAATGATCGCTAAAGAGTACAGAGGCTTGAACCAGATTGCTTGGGTTCATAACTCAGTTCTGCACTTACAGTGTATAAGACTGGGCTATCCATTGTCTGTCTGTAAAATATTAATAGCTTTAAATATTAATAAAAGCTCAATAAATGGTATCTGTTATAATTAACACTTTTTTAAAAGCAAATTTTTTCCACTTAATATGCTTAAGACAATTTTTGTTGTCATTAGTTTAGATTAATCTTGTCTTTTTTAATGGTTATAATATATGTGGTAATATGGATGTTCTCTGGTATGCTTAACTAATTATTGTTGAACATTTGAGCTGATCACATTTTTGTTTTGCTGTTTCATTTCTGCAACGAATATCCTTGTGTGTATATGTTTGCACATTATATATCACTGTTTCTGTTGGGTAGATTCCTAAACATGGATTTGCCAAGTCAAGGAGTAGGCACAGATTTTTAATACTTGGTTGTTTATGCTTTCAGACACTGATGATTAGAAGGTAGCGTGCATGGAAAGAAGCATGCAATGTTTTTTCCCATTCCTCTTTGCCAAACTGGTGAAAAACTTTTTCCTTTTTTATAAGCAGTCTTTGTATATTAACCCATTATCTGTGAAATGTGTAAAAATGCTTTTTCCTGGTTGGTTGTTTTTGTTGTTGTTGTTTGTCCTCACCCAAGGATATTTTTTCTATTGCTTTTCAGAGAGAGGGAGGAAGGGGGAGAGAGAAAAATCGATGTGAGAGAGACACATCAAATGGTTGCCTCCCACACCAGACCAAGGTGGGAATGAACCTGCAACCCAGGTACATGCCCTTGACTGAGAATTGAACCCGAGACCCTTCATTGCATGTGGCACCACTCTAACCACTGAGAACACTGGCCAGGGCTACACTAACTGATTTTTTAATTTAGAATTTGGTATCATTCACAAACACTAAATCCAGATATGGTTTGCATGCACTAATGACAAAATATTGGCAAAGAGGAAGGTGAAAGAATAAGGAAGAATTTATTTTTAATGAGCTTCCCACCCCCAAGTTATTTTTTAAGTGGTGAAGTATATTTGTCACCATTTGGGCGCTTTCTGCTAAAAGAAAGATATCTATGTAGTCCTTTTCACAGCTTGGTTAAAGCCCAGATTTCATATCCCTCAATTCTATAATTACTCAACAAGGATAGCTGGTTTTCTAAACTGGTGAGTATAATTTTCAGATTAATTTAATAAGAAACATCTGAGCTCCTCAAAGCATTTATCATATTGATGTTTTACAGTAAGTACAAAAATTAAATTCTGTTGAGAAAAAACAGTGATTTTTTTTTTTAATATACTTTATTGATTTTTTACAGAGAGGAAGGGAGAGGGATGGAGAGTTAGAAACATCGATAAGAGAGAAACATTGATCAGCTGCCTCCTGCACACTCCCTACTGGGGATGTGCCTGCAACCAACGTACATGCCCTTGACTGGAAATGAACCTGGTAGGGCCACATGTATTTTTTTAATATATATTTTTATTGATTTCAGAGAGGAAGGGAGAGGGAGAGATAGACATCAATGAGGAGAGAGAATCATTGATCACACACTGCACGCCCCACACTGGGGATCAAGCGTACAAACGGGCATATGGCCCTGACCAGGAATTTAATGATGGCGACCTCCTGGTTCATAGGTCGACACTCAACCACCAAGCTACACCAGTCAGGCAGGACATATATTGTTTAAACTGAGTAATTAGATACTAAAGAAACAGGATTAACGTGTAAATCCTTGTATATCAGTTTTGGCAGTATAAAAGTTTTTCAAGGAAATATTCTGAAGTGCAGGGTAGCCTTTTTCCACTGTTTGCTTCCCAAATAGTATATATATTATTTTTTCAGTTTAAAACATGAAAGATGAACTCTCATTTTTCTTTCAGCTATGGCCGATGTCCTTGGTGATAGCGGAAGCTCTGGGCTCGTTACCTCTGAAAGTCCTGTTATCTCTGAACATAGGCTTGACCAGGAAATAGCAGTGAATTTAGAAGAAGATCATGAAATAGAAGTTGATGCACTAAAAGGAAGTGTTGAGTTACCAGAAGAAAAGCCTCCAATTTCTGACGATTCTCCTGATATTCAAAAAGTTCATGTAAAAAATTTTAATTTTTTAATTCTCTGTCGGTCTTTCTGTTTTGAGTTAGGTTTTAAGCCATAGTTCTAACCTAATGTATTCATTTATTTGATTGTTATATAAAAACCTCTTTATAAAGATAGGTGTTTCAAGATATTTTGTGGCCTATAAAAGAATACATCCTTTAAGTAAGAAATTATTTTTCTGAACCAAAGCCAAAAGGCTGTGTTAAAGAAGTCACAATTTTAACAGTTTAATTTTTGCATAGTATCTGGTTCAAATGGAAGTCCTTTTAGCCATAAGAAAGCACATCCTGGCTACTCCAAAGACAAGTATGACATTGAAACTATTCAGAGCATATATTTGAAAATAATTGAATATGGTTAAATAGATTTTTTTCCCCCTGCGTACTTATGGGAGAATTGACAGATATACTCCAGGAAGGATTTATTTTTTTCTTGGTACCTAATATGACCTTTGGTTTCTAAAAATTCCAATTCTCTCCTATTATTGACAGGCAACTTTTATATGATAATTGCATTTAAGAAGGGAGAAAAGCAACTATTTTAATTATTTATAGAAATTTGGTTGTATAGTATTTGGAAAGTTTCTTAACTCATAAAATGTCATGGTTGTCCATATTCACTGTGAAATAGATGGACAAAGTCCCCGTTCCTTTATCTGGGAGGCTAAAAACTCGTGGGCATGGTGTTAGTGGGCATCCTCATTTCTGCGTATTTCCAGTCTGTCATCTCATTGAATGTTTGGGGAATGGGGAATGTCATTGTCTAGGTGGGTGGTAATGTTCTACCTCTTGGTCAGGAGATCTCTCTGTTACTTTCTACCTCCTCCTTTTTCTCCCCTTCCCTTACCAAAAGGTAAATGCAAGGACCATTCCTTCTTCCACCAAACCCTTGCAGGAGAGGGACTGAACTTGAAAGCCTTAGGAATTTCATGGTTTATGCAGCCCCAGCAAAGGGAAGAGGATTGAGTCTAGCCCAAGGGAGCTTATGTAGGTGAACTCTTCTTCAACCTTATGGGGTCGTGCTGTTGAGAAGTGTGGCTAGCTAGGTAATTGGGGGTTATCATTAAACACAGTTTGGGGGTTATTTCTTTTTCTCCAATTAATTTTTTCTTGGGTGAGAACAGAGTAAGTCCTTAATTCTTTTCACAATTATTAGCATCATAATAATTTCAAGGTTTTGTTAATTAAAACTGTCTTTTTTAGCCAGGGAAATGTGGGTGTCTACTTTAATTCCAATCAGAATCTCAAAATCTTTTACTGTCTAGTTATTTTGAGTAAGAAAGTCTGATTGCTTAAGTGGGTATTTTATAAAGTAAACCCATAAGTAGATGCCATGTCAAAAGTAGTTTATATTTAAAATTCATACATCAAGGGTGAAATGGTCATTTAAAAACATGTATTAAGTTTAAATAAATATATGTATATATAAATTCTTTAACCAGTCTCTTATTTTTAATTCATTTTAGGTAATTGAAAATGAAAAGCTTGAAGTTCAAGACTCAGGACAAGAGGCTAAGACTCTTTCATTTAATGAGTATCCCTCAGGAACTCTTAAGCTTCAGTATAATTTTGAGACCATAGAGCAACAGTTCTGTGACTTGCCTGAGAATAAGGACGCTGCTGAGTGTGGTGACATTGCTGAAGTAGATGGGGAACTTTTTGTGGCTCAGAGCAACTTCACCTTGATACTGGAAGGTGAAGAAGAAGTTGAGGCAGGTGATTCTGCAGCATCTAATGTGCTAGCTAAAGCAGCTAACACAGTAACTGATTCAAAACATGTATACACTGGGGAAAACGATGACCATGGACATGTTGCAAACTTGCCATCTGTCATAACTAATGAACAGGAGTCCCAAAAGACAGAGGCCTTACCGAATGTGCCTGAACCAATTAAAGCAGCAGTAGCAGGAAATGTACTAGATGTAATTAAAGACACGAGAAGTAAAGACATTACTTCAGATACGATGGAAGAGTCCACCCATGAAAACATACCTTTAATAAGCCAAAAGGTAAGGAGTTCCACCAGGTCAGTCAAATCTACATTGAAGACTGCTCAGGAAGCAAGTACAGTGACTGTGAATGTTAACCAAGTTAATGACATGACTCCATCCAGACCTCGAACCAGACGACAGCGGACCCAAAGCCTGGATGTGAAATCGGTGCAACAGGAAGAGCCAGCAGCTGCTGCTCCTCCTGAGGTGCTAGGACTCTCGGTTAGAAAGAAAACGAGGAAAACAAAAGAAACGTCGGAGGCTTCGGAAAGTGCCTGTCCTAGTGTCCAAGCACCATCTCAGACCCAGCACATACCTCAACATGCTCTCACTCCTAAGAGAGGAAGGAGGAAGAAAGACACATCAGAGAGTCTTAACTCTGTGGAACAAGAATTACAGGTTACTCCGGGTCGGGTATTAAGAAGTTCAAGATCTCTGTTGGAACCAGCAACCACAGACACTTCTCTGAGAAAAGAAGTTAAGCTTTCATCTGTTACAAAAAAGACTCCTAAAAGAGTGAAAAAATCTGTAGAAAATCAGGAAAGTGTTGAAATTGTAAGTGACCTAAAAACCAGTAAAGAGGCAAGTCCTCGCATAAGTAACGAAAGATTGAGACCTGCTAATTTAGAGACTTCTGAAAATTCAGGACACGAGCAAGATGGGAAGTTCAGTGAACAGCAGCGGCCTGTCCAAGGGAGTAAAAGGGTCACAAAGAGAGACATTAAGGCACCAGGTGTTAGAGAAGACTCTAAACTTGATTCATCTCCCTTGACTCTTCAAGCAGAAGGTGATATACCTGCTACACCTAGGAAACGTGGTAGACCGAGGAAAATTAACCCGTCACTAGATGTAGGCTCCGAGGCTGTTAAGGAAGAGGACACGCCTAAGAAGAGCAAAGTTCAGAAGAGATCTGCGAGAAACACCCCAGCTAAAAGTGAAAATACTGAGTTTGGAAAACCAACTTTAGAAAAATCCGTTTTAGTGCCAAATGAGGAACTTGTTACAGTGATGAGTGCTAAGAAAAAGATTACAAAAAGGATTGAAAATCAAAGCCAAAAACGTTCATTACGCTCAATACCTGAAAAATACATAGAGGAAGACATGGCGCAGAAGGAACCCCAGGACCGAGAAGAAAAATTACCTGCCAAAAGCCCTGTGACTCAGTTTTCCCGGAGCACAAGGACTCGGTCCAGCACGGCCATTTTACTGCCTGACCTTTCTGCGCCAGAAAATGCGTCTGTGTTTTCTCCTGTGTCAAAGGTTTCAAGGAAGGATAAAGGTATGTTTATTTCTCTTCCAAGTATGATTTTCATTTTATGCAGTCTTCAGTTTCAAATTGTTTTAAGCATGATTTGAGTTGATATAGACTGTAATTGATTGGGGGGGGGGGTTGTTGTTTTTTGGTTTTTGTTTTGTTTTGTTAATCTCACCTGAAGATATTTTTCCATTGATTTTCAGGGAGAGTGGAAGAGAGGGGGAAAGACAGAGAAACATCAATGAGAGAGACACACCGATTGGTTGCCTCTGGCCCAGGCCAGGGATGAGCCTACATGCCCTTGACTGGAATCGAACCTGGGACCCCTTTGGTCCGCAGGCTCTATCCACTGAGCCAAACCAGCTAGGGCTGATTATTTCTTCTAAAGATGATTTGTGGTTACAGGGAATCCCTCTCCTTCCAAAACAACAATTTTGATCTTTTAATAGTAAAATTTAAAGATTTTCTATTTTAAAGTTTATTTTCAGATTTAAGAATTTTCTGGTTCATCATAACCTTTTAAATCCTATACTTCACCTGACTTGGGTTTAATTTTTTAGAAGCTAAGTAACTTAATTTTAGTTTCTTGTTTTATTAAACTTCTTTAAACGGCTGCATGTATTTTTAACATCAGTGAACACCCTGTTATGGTTTCCTGATGCCGTGAGGAAGGCCAAGAGGAAGATAATCTGCAAACTCATATCTTCAGCATTCAGTATGCAAAAACCGCTTTAAATATTTGAATTTTTGAGAAACAAGACTGTTCTAAAAAATTGTATTTATGCACTCATTCGTTACATTTCTATAGCCTGAGTCCAGGAAATGGCCCTTCGCCATAGAATTGCTTATTTTAACAATGATTTGAAGTTGTAGCAGGTCCTCCTCCCAAAATTATTTTAATTTTTAATTTTGGTAGTACCATATATAATTCAATTTCTTCATGGTATTATGAAAATGTGGTTATGCATATATTTTGCATGGAGGAGAATGAAAGGACAAAATGTGAGCATTTAGCTAACTTATCAAGGCTGTCATGTTCAAGGTAAAATGAAAAAAATACAGCAGTGGGCGTGACAGCAGAATATTAACATAATTCTTTCATACTTTCCTTGTGACAAACAAAAATTGCAAGTTATTTTGGTATAGTATGGCAAATACATTAATAACTGGTCTTTTGTTATCTTTAGTCATCTTCTATCATATTCTGTAATAAAAATAATACATACCTACCATAGAAAATTAGAATTTAAACGTAGATACTCTAGCCACCTAGAGTACCACTACCCACTGCTCACATTTTCTTATATATCCTTTCAGTCACTGCTGTGTGTGTAGATAGATATATATGTGTTTTTTCTTTTTTTAAAAAAACCAATGAACTATGGCGTATGTGTATGTTTTGCTTCCTTTCCCACTTATTTCATGAGCATTTTTCAGATACTCTTCTCTAAACCCTGAGTGAACATGGTTTTTGTATTTTTTTTGGTTTGGTTCATACACAGTGATAGAGTCCATGTGTGGCATTTCCTCTCCCTAATGTGCCACAGGCTGCTTAACCATCTCCTATTAGGTGTTTGAGTTTTCAGGTCTCCTGGTAGTCAGTCCAGTATTATCAACAGATGCCGTTAGGACGAGGTGATTCAGTGACAGATGAAGAATCTGGGCTGGGGTCTCGTTTCTGCCACATCCTAGTGAGGCAGAACGGTATTGGGCCTTTCTGAACCTTGTTTCCTCGCCATTGCAGGGAAGGTGGGAATGCTGCCCTACAGGGCTGGTGTGAGTACTCAGGACTTAGCAGTTACACCCTTGGGTGTAGTCTCCGCTCTGCATGGACCTGAGAGGATAGTTTCTAGACTCTTAAGAACATCTCTCTTCATCAACCGAAGGACTTGTATACATGTATATAAGCCAAACCAATGGACATGGACAACAGGGGGATGGGAGCATGAGTGTGTGTGAGGGGGGAGGTTGAGGGTTAATGGGGGGGTGGGGGATAAGGACACATTTGTAATACCTTAACTAATAATAAAAAAAAAAAAGAACATCTCTCTTCCCTGTGCCTGTTTAATTGTATTTTTAAAGCTCCTTTAGGGAAGGATAGGAGGTTCAGAGAAGAGTGAAGACAGAAATATTAGATTAGAAATTAATTTAGGTTACAGTTGAAAGCTGGAGGTGTACTCTAGTGAAACCTGTCAGAACTTTATTTAGATGTGTCGTATAGCTAAAACAACGCGAAACTTGACATTTCAATACATTTTCTCCAATTTTCATTACTCACCTGATATTTAAGAAGGATCTGTTTATATGCCTGAGGCTGTAGTAGGGGATACATTTTATCAATTTGATTCTCACTAAAACCCACTTAAGTATTTAAGGAAATTGAAGTTCAGTAAGACTGAGCGCCCCATCACCCAGGTCATAAGTAGTGGTGTCTTGGGGCAGACTCCTGGCTGGTGAGAGCCAATTGTTTTCATGGTCCAGGATTGCCTGGCTTGCATAGCTTAGTGGTTGAGCATCCTACCTATGAACCAAGAGGTTCAATTCCTGGTCAGGGCACATGCCCAGGTTCGGGCTCTGTCCCCAGTGGGGGACATGCAGGAGGCAGTCCATCAGTGATTCTCTCTCATCATTGATGTTTCTACCTCTCTCTCCCACTCCCTTCTTTTCTGAAATCAGTAAAAGTATATTTTATGCCTGACCAGCATGGCTCAGTGGTTGAACATCGACCTATGAATCAGGAGGTCATGGTTCGATTCCCAGTCAGGGCACATGCCTAGGTTTCAGAGTCCATCCCCCAGTAGTGGGGTGTGTAGGAGGCAGCTGGTCAATGATTCTGTCTCTTCATTGATGTTTATTTCTCTTTCTAACCTTCCTCTCTCTGAAATCAATAAAAACATAATGAAAGAAAAATGAAAGGGTTCTATAAATTATGCATCTCCCTGAACACGTAGGGTAGTTAAAGTTATCCATCCTGCTAAGTCCCTAGTTGATCCCCTGAATATAAAAGTTCTTGGTA